CAGGGTAAATATGAAATATAATTCTCAACTTTTATCATAAATATCAGATATTATTCCAACTTTTTATTTTAATCAAAAATCTTCCCCGGCTTTTTCAAAAATACCAAACTTAATCCTAAGGTTAATTATTTTCATTAATTTTTAAAAGAAAATCTTAACCAGAATTTTGGAAGGCTTAATAAAATTTTTTACATAATATTCTTTTAATTTTCATTGTTTTAAAATTATTTTTACTAAAATTTGAATTCTTTATACACTTTAACTCTTCCTTTTTGAAAAATAGTAGGGAATTTTTTTTACTTTACAAATAAGGATTTATGTATATGTTAGATAAAATCCTATAATTTGACATGGATTTTCATTTTATATTTTTTATGTATTTCATAAAACAATAATTTAGATTATAAATAATTTACAATTGAAAAATATTTAGGTTATGAAATTTATTATATTATTAAATTATTAAGTTACGTAAAAAAATTTTAATTAAGATTGAAACAAGGGCTTTGCATCAAGTAAAAGGAAAAAAAAAAAATGATCTTTAGAGTTTTAAAAAAGCAAAAAATACATAATTCATCCATATTAAAGGAAATGAAATATATGTTTGCAAGATCATACCAATGGATAGCAGCAAGATCAGCACAGTTGGTTTTCACATTCTCGGACTGGTAGTCGAACCCAAAGGAATGTGATAGATTGCTGCAGAAGAACAATAGAAAGAGGAGTAAGGAAGGTTAGTTAACCTTGAGTTTTGTGAAGAAAGTTAGTAAATTACTTATATGTAAATGGATAGGAGTATTTTTTGTATTCTGTTAATAAAATTTTTTTTATTGTTAAAAAATAAAATATATATGTTTGATGTCAGAAAAAAAAAAAGGTTTAGAGGTTTTTTTTTTTTAATTTTTTTTATTTTTAATTCAAGGGTTTTGGTGGCTTTTCATATTTTTAAGTAGGATTTTTATTATGAATTTTTAATGAAAATAACTAACTGAAATATTAGATTTGGTAATTTAAAAAAATTTTGAGATTATTTCTAATCTAAATAAAGATTAAAATAATATTTAATATTTATAGTAAAAGTTATGAGTAAATCTGGAATTTACCCTGAAAAGTACTTTGTTATGATATATTTGTTTTCCGCCCCTGATATTCCGTTGATATTAGATTCCGAGCTTGTGATTTCTATAAGAACCGGAGAAGCTAAGTAGCCTTTTCCCAGACCTCTCCAATTCCAATTTCCTAACCATTTCCATTTCTTTGCAAAGAGACAAAAAAAAAAAAAAATGAGTTCTGTTGAAACGATAAAACCGCATGCAGTGTGTGTCCCATTTCCAGCACAAGGCCATGTTACCCCCTTGATGCAGCTAGCCAAGCTACTACACTATAGAGGTTTCCACATAACCTTCGTCAACACCGAGTTCAACCACCGCCGCTTCATCCGCTCCAGAGGTACGGACGCCGTCCACGGCCTGCCAGATTTCTGCTTTGAAACCATTCCCGATGGGTTACCACCATCTGATCGCGACGCAACGCAGGACGTTCCACCGCTCTGCGATTCCACCAGAAAGAATTGTCTCGTACCGTTCTTGGAGCTGCTTGGTAAGCTGAATTCACAAGTACCACCGGTAACCTGCGTAGTCTCTGATGGAATTACGGGCTTCGGTGTGAGAGCTGCTGAAGCACTGGGCATACCGGCCGTTCAGCTTTGGACTGCCTCAGCTTGTGGCTTCATGGGATATTTGCAATATAGTGAATTGTCTAAAAGAGGCATTGTTCCGTTCGAAGGTACCTTTTATATTTCTTCTTCTAGAATTTACAAAGTATTATTTAGCAGCTTGTGTAGTTTGAGGGATGAGAAGGGTAGGTGAAGGGAGAATGATAAATTTTCCTATTTAAATAATAAGAATTGAAGGAGATAGGAGGCAAGGGGAGAGTAGCTTTCTTTTATTTTCTTTTATAATTTTTAATATAACTAAATGAAGGAAGGGGATAGAAGGGATTGTCTCCCCTCCCCTCCCCTCTTTCCGTTTCCTTAAACCAAACATGGGATAAAGTAGAAAACAAAATTTTCGATTATGAAGGCTTTATTTTTAGTTATAAGTTAAAAGGCTTTAATAGGTTTTAGGTCTAAATTGTGAGACTATATTATTTTAGGTTTTAGGTTCAAATTCTATTTTGTAATTTGCCTCCCTTTTTTGGTGTTCTTTAGATGAAAGTTATTTGATTGATGGTTCACTAGAAACCCCATTAGATTGGGTTCCTGGAATGAGTAACATGAGATTAAGGGATATTCCAAGCTTTATCAGAACCACCGATCCAAACGACATAATGTTTGACTTCTTAGGATCGGAAGCCCAGAATTGCTTGAAATCACAGGTGATTGCTTTCAACACATTTGACGAGTTAGAACACGAAGTCCTGGAGGCAATTGCACCCAAATCCCCTCCCGTTTACACCATTGGACCACTTTCCCTCTTATCTAGGCACCTTCCTAAAACTAAATTCAAGTCACTCAGTTCTAGCCTATGGAAGGAGGATTTTGACTGCATCAAGTGGCTAAATGGAAAAGCAGAGAACTCTGTCGTATACGTGAATTATGGTAGCATAACAGTGATGAGCGAGGAGCACTTGAAGGAATTTGCGTGGGGACTTGCAAATAGCAAATACGCGTTTCTTTGGATCCTCCGGTCTGATGTTGTGACAGGATTGGATTCTGCAATTCTGCCTGAGGAATTCTATGATGAGATTAAGGATCGAGGGATGATAACGAGTTGGTGCCCACAAGATCAAGTGCTTTGTCACCCGGCAGTCGGCATTTTCTTGACGCATTGTGGGTGGAATTCTACGGTGGAATCGATCTGTGCAGGCGTGCCAGTGATCTGTTGGCCATTCTTTGCTGAGCAACAAACAAATTGTCGGTACGCTTGCACCACATGGGATATCGGCGTGGAGGTTGATCGTGATGTGAAGCGAAGTAACATTGAGGTTCTTTTGAAGGAGATGATGGAAGGAGATGAAGGAAAGCGGAAGAGGGAAAAGGCTTTGGAATGGAAAAAGAAGGCAAAAGCAGCTACCGATGTAGGAGGATCTTCTTATCAGAATTTTGATCGGTTTATTAAAGAAGTTCTCCTCCAAGAGAAGTGAGGATGAAAAGCATATCTGGTTTCTTTTATTTTCCCCCTGCATTGCACATTAATTCTCAATAAAACTGATATAAAAAAATTAGTTTTATATTATTAAGATTGAGAAAAATCAAGATACTACGGTAATTAAAATATCCGTTGGCCACTAAATGTATTCTGCATTCTTTGTATCTCGTATTTAGTGTTGACAGCAATTATTCCTAAAATCATACCACAACGAAGGGTGTTGTAAAATATTACAAATAGTGGAAATATATCTTTTTTTGCTCAGCTTTAAAGAAACTTTCACTGATTCTGGTTCTATAAACATTTTTAGATGAATAATGAAAAAATTAAAATATTTTTAATAAATCAGCAAAAAAAATTTATTAATAATTTTTAAATAATTCCACAAAAAATTTTTACGTTTAAAATATTAGGATGTCATTATTTTTAAATTTTCTATATTATTATTATTTTCAGCAAAAAGAATATTTTTATTCTAGGAGTAAAATAATGTATGCATACTGATCAATGAGCCTTTCTACTCAGCTAACTGA